AAAAAAAAAAAAGTGATGCTTTTTTTGCCGATTTGAACTTGGGCGACGAGGATGTTGCCATTAAGTGTTTTTCTTGCCTATCTGAACTACGACGACGCTCATGTTGCCATGACGTGTTTTACCTGCCTATTTTGAACTAAAAGTGTGACTCGGGAGCAGTTTCCTCAAAAAAAAAACACAAAAGGTTTACTTTTTTTTTTTTTTTTGTGAAGCCTCTTGTTGTGGGGATTGTCACTTGACGAGATGATAAGAGCATCCTCCTTAAGTCGTTCCCCCCCTATTGGAGGGCTCCATCTATTAGTGGGGAGCAGCACTTGCTGGAAAGGGGGTCCAGCGTCCCAATAGCGTACAATGGGCATTGTTATACAAAATGGAGTCTTGTTGCCGGTGACCACGATCTCTGCAAGGAACAAGGTCCCGCCTTTGGATATGTCTGCTCAGACTAGGTGTCTTCACGGGTTATGATGGGCATTGGGCTTGCATGGTGAGACGTCATACCTATCTGAACGCAGAAGAAAAGAAGGCCGTGTTTTTGTGCCAAGTACTCGACAATGTGGCAATTGATATACAACAGGTTCGGATTATCATGACTCCGGTTACCCTTCCTTTATGTGCTTACCAATGTGTCTGGGACGCCGGGCCCGGTTTCCAGCACGTGCGCCTCCCCATCAATAGACTGCCAGTGGGGGGACCAGCAGGGGCATACGAGGTGGGGCTGCTTGTACCAACCCCAACCCACTAGTAGACCCTGGCTGGGGTTTTCTCAGGAAAAAAATATATATATAACTTTTGGTATGCATCAGCGTCAGAGGCATTCAAGTATGTTACCACACTTCTCGTTGGCCCAGGGTCACAAAACCGTCACATAGTCTCTCGCTCATTATGTATTGTAAGCAACTATCATATCGATGGATCATGTAGGCATTAATGCATTATTGAATGTTTATTTTTTTGTACACTGGCAGGCATCTGCCCTACTTTTTCTACTAGGCAATTAGAACTCAGAACCCTTCAAGCTAATGTAGGATGTGAGGAGGTTCAGTGTGTCAAGGGGTAATGGCCATATAGCCGTACACAAAGTCTCACGAAGGAGCTAGGGGCATCACCACCAGAAACTGGCAGAAAGTTTTGTTACAGGTCCATCGTCATCAGTCCAAGAACTCGAACGAATGCACACAAGAAGCATAGAGAGTTCCGAGGTCAAGAGATGGGAAAAACACAGACATATGATATGAAATATCATGTATTATGTAAATCAGGATTATAAGGTGCTAGAGATCCTTCTCCAACTGATTCATTGATATTACAAGAAGAAGTTCAACTTGAAAGCAGCCTGCTGGCGGGGTCCCTACGCGGCATTTCAGCCTTGGCACCAAAAGGAGGCATCATCAGGGGACTAAGCGCCTGATCACTTGAAAAAGAAAACAAAGAAGAAGAAGAACCTTCGACAATGGGTAAGTGCCCATGAAAGGATTTCATGCGTTTTGCCTGTAGGCTTCAAGGTTCAAACCCTCTTTTTTCTTAAAAAGGTGATAACCCCTAACATTATAGTACTCCACCCTGGTTGCATTTCCTGGTGCATGGGCCGCCTGTGACCCCTCCGGAAGGCAACCCGGGCGGGTGGTGGCCTGGTCAGGGTCCTGACAGTCTGCAGTAACCAATTTAAACTAGGCCTTCCAGATCCAGCTGAGGGACCTCGTTGCCTGGTGATGGTGGCATCAAGGCTGTCCTGTGATGGGCAAACCTCATGCCCAAGGGCCAATGCTGCTTTCCGGTCGGAGTGGAGTGTAGGCCTGGGAAAACAAGCTTTTTTTTTTTTTTTTTTTTTTTTTTAACAAGCTCCAACTATTGGTGGGGAGCTGCACCTGCTGGAAAACGGGTCCAGCCTCCCTTGTACAAAAAGTTTGAGAAATAAATCTGAGTGAAAAGAAAGCACTGCCTCTTCAGCCCAATTGAGGCAGCCAAATAAACATATAATGCTAGCTGAAAGGGGTGTGCCAAAGATTTTTGGAAGACTTAGTGGGTGTGGAGTTCCAGACCGGAACTAGAACCTCCCTGTATCGGTCCCATAGAGTTGGGGATTTGTGTCTACCTTCTTCCCCCCGAATAGAACATACAGTCATTACCCGCCCGACAAGAAGGTTATATACCGGCTTCAGTTACTGTGCAGCAGTCTCCAAGCGTTCGTCTGTATGTCCAGCGCTTATATCTCTCTGTGAGATTTTGTATCAAGACAAGATGAGCAACTCCATCCATGATGTCCCGTCTCCATAAGAACCCGCCCGGGGTTTGCGGGTCCATACAGGTACCGTGAAAATGGCAGTCCGCGCCAGCGCCAGCGCTCTACAGTTCTTTAACTTTATCGACAGACAGACGAGCTACGTCTGGCGGGAACCATACCTCTGCATCGCGACAGACCGAATGACTCCATCTTGTTCTAGAGTTGCAATATCCTGGTGAGGGAGGGCTTGGAGTTGTTCAGGATTAGGAGTCCAATATGGCTGACTCAGCATGTGTAGCTACATCTTTTGTCATCACTGGCATCATTAGTATCATCAGCATTAGAATTTTCTATTCTCAGGTTTTTCTCAGCCGAAGCCGGATAATGGCTCCGGTGTTACAAACTGATGTATGTTCATATGGGACGCCCGGCCCGGTTCCCAGCACGTGCTGCTCCCCACGAATAGACTGGAGCTTCCTTCTGTTAAAAAAAAAAAAAAAAAAAAAAAAAAAAAAGATTGTTTACTCCCACCAGAACCTGCCTGTTAAGGCGGTCCGGTACAGGTACGGAGATCGTCGGCAGCCCTCTCAGGCGCTTGGTAACGAGCGCAGGTATCTGTTCAGCTTCTTGGACCTCATTTACTGTGTGAGGAATGAGCCCTCAAGAAGGGGCCTTGCCATGATGTACATGATCTGGGCTAAGGCCCCAGCAAGCCTCGTGCCCGCCCTAAGTGAAGGCGGGCCAGCAAATCAACAATAGCCCTCTGTGCTTACATTTCACGAAGTGGGGTCCTTACAGTTGCAGCACGCCAGTTGGTTGGAGTGCACCGAGTTTCGGATCTCAGCAAATGCTGAAATGCCCAGGGCCTCTGAGTTAGTTAGGCCCTGGGCTCCTGAACGTGAGGCCGACAATGCACGCTGGGTAAAGAGGCCGAAAATGCAAAGGGAAATCGGCCCACTGTCTGAATCTGGCSGCAGGCCTTGATGAGAGAGGCACAACTGCATCTCCCRGGGCCYAACTGTATCGGGCAGAGTTCAGCCTCTGGGCCCCGGTCACAGGCTGAAGGGAGGCCGCCCACACGCTGCACTGGCATATAGGCAAGCAGGGCGAGTGGGCAGGGATCTTGGCCAATGCTGGCATATGCGGGCACGCTGCGCAGATGCAAGTGTGTTGCGCTATGCAGAGCAGCACTGCGCTAAGACAGGGCAGGGCAGCGCTAGGCGGTAGGGCGCTGCCTGCGTGCAGGGCACAGGCGACCATAGCCGGGCCGCATGAGGGTGCAGGGGAGGTGAGGGCGAAGGTGGTACTTCGGAGGTGAAGGGCGCTGTGTGGGTAACAAGGGAGAGTGTGGGGAAGAGGACACGTACCTGGTGATGGTGGAGGTCTGCATTGGTGTTGACATCATCACTCGCTGGTAGTCAAGTTGTCTGGTTGCTGTTCATTGCTGTAGTTGTAGGATAGGCTTTAGAGTAGATAGGGCGCCTGGCGCCATTCACAAGAGAGAGCTACATTTGGGTTATGCTGTTGGTGTTGCCCTGTTGGGCATGGACATTGACTCACGATTCTTCTGTATCATTCTCAATGGGATGGTTACTCGGTTCCATGTGCTATCTGCTTTGGCTTTGAATACTTGGACTTCAGTGTGATTTTGCATTCTGGATTTCTGTGCTTCGTCCATACTCATGTTCCTTGCAACTGTGTGTTTTTCTAAGGAACGTATGCCCACTCGAGTTTCCAGGTAGCAGGTGGCAAATCTCTTATTTAAGCACAGTGCTATACGTAGGATGTCCTCAATCTGAGTGGTGTMTTGAGTGGAAGGGTYGAGYATCCGTAATGGTGTTACGGATGGTGGAGGGGAAGATGTTGTACGCCACGATATTAAAGCTCAAGGCATCTTCTTCTATTTCGGTTCCATTGGTGTAATCTCTCTCTCATGGACTAGAGCCTCAGCGTCGACCTTGCCGTGGCTTGGGAACGAGGCTGGGGTGCCGCTCTCGATAGACGTGTCTGAGCGCGCGCTTCACGGATTGTCATTTTGATGTTACTTTGATGTTACCTTGTTGTTACTTTGATGTTACCTTGTCGTCACTTTGTTGGTACTGTGCTGCTACTCTCTGTTAATTAATGTTACATGATTATCAGTGTTACTGCGCTGTTATACTTTGGTGCGATTGGCCGTCGAAGTATCTGCATTTTGGTAATACAGGGGATCGCGCTCTGCTCATTGTGTTTATTCGCACTTAATTATACCGGGCGTACTGGGGTGTTTTTCAAAGTTTAATTTAATTTAATTTAATTTAATTTAATTTAATCCAATTTATGGCATCGAGGGGCCACTGTAGCATTTGGTTGTTAGTTGTGAGCTCCTTGTAACCGTGTTGTTGCAATTGGCATGGTAGTGAAAGCGACTGCTTCTATTACACTGAGTAGTTTGTTAGACCACCAACGTGCTACTGAGGTGGTTATTGGCATCGGCATTAGTCTCTGTGCGGTTTCCTTTGTTGTGGGTCGCATGAGCTCAAGAGGTTGAGGGAGTAAGGCCGGCAGTCAACGTGGCCGGTGGTCGAATTGCAGCCGTTTTTGGATGGATGGTTCGAATAGCAACCATTACGCGCAGCAGCAAGCTGCGCCAAGTGTTCCTTACCGTACAGCCACCAGTGCCGCCAGCTCGAGTCGGGATGCCTCCGCAGTATCAACCACAATCACTGTGGAACTCGCAAGCGTGGGGACCTCCGCAGCAGCAGCCTACCGTGTCATGGCCAGCAAGTATTCCATGGGGTGGCAATGCATTACCCTCTCATGTCCCCGTATCTGGGGTTACTCCGACGCATATGCCTGCCCAGATGCCCACACATCAGCTCCCTCCTACAGTACCAGTGAATCCACATGGATTTCACAAACAAGGGGGAAGCTCTGCTTCAAGCGGTGGCGGCAAGGGTCCGACTGCTAATAACTTTCTGGGCCCTGCCAATCGTGCGTACTTCACGAAGGAGTACATGGAAATCTTGGAAGGCATCAAGTCTAGCAAAGCCATCGACGAAGCAAAGAAGAAGCTCGGCGCTCCAAGGAATAGTGTTGTGGCGCGAAGTGGTCCGCAAAGCAGGGAACTGTTTGATGACGGTAGCAGATTTGACTCTCGATCCACCGATAAGAGTGAAGACATGAAAGCGTGGGTCACTACCACGCTGGGGGAGTCTCTGAAGCTCATCAATTCCAAACTGGACAGCGTGGACAGGAAATCGAAGTTGGACGCCGACGAGCGTGAGGAACTAGAACGCTTGCGGAAGGAAGCGCAAGGTGGCAAGGACAAGGAACTCTCCAGCAACGAAAAACGGAAGAGGTGCGGTGTACACACTCCAGTGGAAAACTCGCCATCAGCTGCACGCGCGCGGCCACGATCGAAAGGCAGTTCGAAGACCAACCCAAAGCGGATTCAGTTGTCAGATAACGAAGGACCATCTCGCACCAAGCAGAACTTGCAATCGAAGTTGGAAAGTACCAGCTGTGAGCTATCTGACATCAAGCGAATGCTTGCCGCACTGATGAGTGGCCTGGCAGATCCGAAAGGAAAGTCCAAAGTAATCGAGCGTAGCAATGCGAGACAAGGTCCCGGTGAGGGCGACGGTGAAGGTACCGATATGGCGCAGAATGCCCAGGTGGAATGCGACGAGGATGACCCGGATGAAGACGGGTTCGCGTCATACATGAAGGTACGGGCCGACTACTATGGTTCCCTACACTACACGCGAGTTCAGGAAATGTGCAAGGAACGGGAGATCGAGTACTTCAAGAAGGATGTCGCCGTTTGGGAACTGGCAAGGCAGGATTTGCAAGAGTACGCGGACTCACTACGGGAGGAACGCAGCACGCGCGAAGGCGACAAAGCTCGACGGAAAGAACTCAGCGCTGAACCGGGACACGATGACACAAGGGAGGACCGCGACACAGTCAAGGGAAACTGAGCCTTGGCAGCATCAAATCTTTTAGGCGTGCACTCGCCCAGTTGCATCGTGCCAAGCGAGTCCTTGATCCGTCACTGTCTAACCTTTTCGATCAAATCCATGTGCTACTTACTATTTTTGCGTGTCTAAATGGCTACCTGAGTTGGGGCCTAACGTATGTCCGTTTTTGGTTGAGGTTAGAGCGCGAGGATTGGTGCGAACTGTTAGAAGCGCACAGTTGTATTTATGTGTAGATGTCACTCAACCACATATTGGTTTATGTAGGGAAGACAAGTAGATCACTCCGTGAGCGTTGGACTGAACACTGCCAAGCGGTACGAGGCAACAGTAAGCAAAGAGTCCATTCCTGGTTTGGAAAAATTGGCATTGATACGTATATTCCTATCCCTGTTTGGTTCGGTAGTAACTCAGAGATTGAATGCATGGAACTGGATCTAATTAAAAGTTTGAAGCCGGGGCTAAATGCCCGTGGGACCGCTAAGCGTCGGAGGCCAAGAAGACCTCGTGGAAAGCGCCCTGACACGCACTTAACACGTGTCGACATTTTGGAACCACTCCGGTTCTCATGCCCGAATGTTAAGATTGAAAATGAACCGGACCTGCTCCGATTCTTGAAAGCGCTGAGAAAAAATAGGGTAAAAACTCTAATCACTTTGACGAACAACACTGGCGGGCGATGGATGAAAGCTTGGTGGCTGGTGTGTTTATTGTTTGGGCACAATAAACTGAAAATCAAGAACGATAATTGGTTGCTTAAAGATGCAAAAAATGTCATCGAAGAAGGAGGAGAATGGACAATCACCTCGCTCTTCCAAAACCCTACTAAAACCGATATTAGGAAGGCTGAGGTCATTTCTATCTTGCGAGCCCCATGGAAAAAGGTTTGTTCAAACTTAGCCTCTGTGAATTGCTTGAGATGGACTCCGCTGTTAAAAATATTAACCAACCGAGAGGAAGGCAAATAGTTTGTGGGATCTTAACAAACGTGTGTAAGAAGAAGTTCGGCATCAATCCTTGTGCAAAAATTATTGCGAAGATTCCTTTTTGTACCACAGTGGATAAGGGGAAAGTGGAAAGCTTTTTGAAGGATTGGATCCAGGGGAATATCCAGCCTGGCCCGCTAGCTGACTTGTATGCGAAAAAAACTCGAACTGTTTGGTTGAAAGCTAAATAAGTTGGAGATTTGTTGCATAAGTTTTCGCTCAACGCTGCTCCTTTGAGTGCTTGTGCGAGAACTTCGACCTGCCTAAAATTGATGGGCACGTCGTAGTCAAACTTAGCGAGATTGCTGACTTGAACCCTTTTCTGTTCAATGCTAAGAATGTTCCTTTTCCAGGTACAATTACGTCGTATGAGACCGTAAACCGAGCCTGTAATGAAGCATTGGATGTCATTCAAAAGTCGGGGGTTGTGACCGGTAAGTTCCGAATTTCACACGGTGTTGTTACGAAGGAAGGTGAAACTATGCCTCCCGGTTGTGTCCTTAGCGAGTACGTCTCTAGTGTGAAGCAAGCGTTCTCAGGGTTGGTACTAGGACCTAGCGAAACATGGGTGGAGTGCCCCAAAAGATTTGAGATTGGACTGCAAAAAATGTTTCTTAAATGTGAGAATAACGAACGAGTCTCCTCGAACAAAAGTTTGACCCTAAGATATATGTGCAGTAAGTATAATTGTCAGAACCTGGGACCGATTGCACGATGGGATCACCGAGGCGAGTTGCAGTTTGCATATATTATGCCTAAAGAGAAAGACAAAGAAAAAAGGAGACCCATCGTTCCGTCCTTTGCAAGCCCTCTTCGAGCCGCATCCGGAATTCTGTCATTGGCTTTGAATATTCTTATTCCAAGGATCAACGTTCCCCATTTTAATCTCTGAGCGTTGGGTGACCTTCGGCAAGAGATATCCTCAATTAACGTGGATGATGGACCCCAATCCAGGTACGGAGTTATCTCTCGTACTTACGATATCAAGGAAATGTTCACACAATTACCCCATGATGTCATTGATCGTGCAGTACAGTGGATTGTAGACCGGTTCAACCAAGGGGGCAAACGATGGATTCGACTCAACACCAGGAAAAAGCTGGCCACCTTCGGAAAATCCCATGGCGAGGCAGGATGGAAATCCGTCTGGCTTACAATCTTGATTAAGCTAAGCAATTTCCAACTTGAAAACACTGTGTTCCTGGTGTCGGATGCTATTCTGCGCCAAAAGCAAGGAATTCCCATGGGGGGGCGTGCAAGTCTCGCGCTTGCTTGTGTTATGTGCATGTATTCAGAATTTAACTTCATCAAATCACTAGGCGCTGATGCAAAGCTTATCTCTGGGAAAAGATATATTGATGATCTGCTCCTCTTTTCTTTCTTTGACAAAAAAGACCCGAATGGAAGAGCACATGCAAACGAGCGCTTGGAAAAAATCGTGAACTGTTACCCTAAAGAACTCAGTTTGGAAAGGACTGATACTGGAACCGGTATTCTTGACTTCTTGGAAACAAGATTGTTCGTTGCCGAAAGTGACAAACACGTACTAGTAACTCACAAGTTTAAGAACAGGGAATCAATCTGGGAACTCGGGAACCTCCGTTATCAGACTTACAAAAACCCCGCATCCTTTGGGCCTAAAAAGGCCAAATTCGCCACTATAGCAAACACCGTCGTACACATATCCGAGAACTGCAATAGCAGTGGGACTACATGCATCGAGGTACGAACACTAGCTATTGAATTGAAAAAACTGGGGTACGGTGGTGACATCATTCAGACTGCACTCAGATGGATGCAACAGAGAGATTCACGCAATCCCTTTTGGAGCAAAATCCAAGAGATAGTAAAATCCGTGTGCACTAGCAGTAGTAAGGACGAAATTTGACTTTACAAATCTTTGATATGGAAGCCTACAGCTGGTCACGACCCGGATGCGCGAAGGGTAACTCACAACATCAAGGACCATGTTTCTGAATCGAGTCGAGACGGTGGACTCCATTATATGTAATCGCCTTCTACGTGTACCCGCCTGAGAAGAAGGTTATATACCGGCTTCAGTTACTGTGTTGCAGTCTCCAAGCGTTCGTCTGTATGTCCAACGCTTATATCTGTCTGCGAGATTTTGTATCAAGACAAGATGAGCAACTCCATCCAGGATGTCCCGTCTCCATAAGAACCCGCTCGGGGTTTGCGGGTCCATACAGGTACCGTGAAAATGGGCAGTCCGCGCCAGCGCCGGCGCTCTACAATTCTTTAACTTTATCGACGAACAGACAAGCTACGTCTGGCGGGAACCATACCTCCGCATCGCGACAGACCGAATGACTCTATTCAGATCGTTTACTCCTACCAGAACCTGCCTGTTAAGGCGGTCCAGTACAGGTACGGAGATCGTCGGCAGCCCTCTAAGGCACTTGGTAACGAGCGCAGGTATCTGTTCAGCTTCTTGGACCTCATTTACTGTGTTTTTTTCTAAGGAAGGTATGCCCACTCGAGTTTCCAGGTAGCAGGTGGAAAATCTCTTATTTAAGCACATTGCTATATGTAGGATGTCCTCAATCTGAGTGGTGTATTGAGTGGAAGGGTTGAGTATCCGTAATGGTGTTACGGATGGTGGAGGGGAAGATGTTGTACGTCACGATATTAAAGCTGAAGGCATCTTCTTTTACTTCGGATCCATTGGTGTAATCTCTCTCTCATACAGTCATTACGCCTGTGTTTGGGGTTACTTTTAGAAGTTTCAGTTCAGATACCGCAATAGAACGGGAGAAGATGGTAGTTGTAGGAAAGATGTCGAAATTGCCCTGTAAGGAGAAGGGTATAGGCGAGAATTGGAGCAGGAGAGACACCGGAATCAAAAAAGCACATTCACTTGACAAAATTGAGACGATGACGCACACCACTGGTGCGGAAAAAATAGAAAATAACAAACGCTAGGCAATCTATAATGTACGAGTAGAAGTTACATCTCCGGCGTCGTCGTACAGTCATTACGCCTGTGTTTGGGGCTACTTTCGGAAGTTTCAGTTGAGATACAGCAATAGAACGGGAGAAGATGGTAGTTGTGGGAAAGATGGCGAAATTGCCCTGTAAGGAGAAGGGTTTAGGCGAGAATTGGAGCAGGAGAGACACCGGAATAAAAAAGGCACATTCACTTGACAAAATTGAGACGATGACGCAGACCACAGGTGCGGAAAAAATAGAAAATAACAAACGCTAGGGAATCTATAATGTACGAGTAGAAGTTACATCTCCGTCGTCGTCGTCGCCTTTTCCTGCACGAAACGTTGCGAATGTACACATGGGATTACAGAGGTCAACCGAAAATGGCGCGCTTGTGCATTCCGTTGAGTTTGCAATCTGAGGTGGACGGTCTCAGTCAAGCCCTCCATTCTCTATTCCCCTCCTTTGTGGGCCACGTTAGCAAAACCCTGGGAGCAAGATATCAAATTATCAATCCTAAGATTCCTCACAATGCCATCTGCACTCGAAACAAAGTGACGGTCTTTGTGGCCGAAAAAGTGCTATCATAGTAATGACCGGCCGTGGGATTACTTTGAACCATCCTTGCAACCGCACGAGCCGCACATTCGTGCGGAGTTCCGTGCAGGGGGTGCCTGTGCGGAATCGTGCAGGTTTTTTATTTTTATTATTATTATTTTATCTTTTTTTTCTTGAGGGGGGACGGGGGGGATGTATGACAGGAAGATGGGGATATGGCGAGGAGAGGGGGATATGGAGAGGAGGAGGAGGATGTGGACGAGGAGGACGACGAGGAGGAGTCGAGATGGGGGAGGAAAAGAGATGGACGGAAGGAAAAGAGGAAGGGAAGGAGGAGGAGGAGACATGGACAGCGAGGAAGGGGAGAACACGAGGAAGGGCAGGAGACGAGGAGGGATGGAAGATGAGGAAATACGGGGAGCAGGAGGAGACAAGGAGGATGAGGAAGGGCAGGAGGAGGACGAACAGGAGGACGACGAGTCGGAGGAGACGAAAAGGAGAAGGAAGGAGAATACATGGAAGATGAGGAAGGGGAGGAGGAGCAAGGTAAGGCAGCACTCCTGTAAAAAAAAATCCTCCCACTTATGATTTTGGCAGGGGGCCTCAAATGCACTATTTCGACCCCGGCCTTCGTTTTTTTTCTGAGGGGGGTGGCGGTGTGCCGAACTATTTTCTGTAATCGCACGACTTTCTGCGCGAAGTGGCTTCGGGGGTTGGGAACTGCTTGGTCGGGTGGAATGCATAGATAGGGTTTGGCCGGACAAGTTGCATGGATACCGTCGCTTCTTTCTTTTTTTTTTGTTGTCGGGACCAGGGCCGAGAAAGTCCCGCAACGACGATTGAGTGACCGCGATAAATACCGGTTGCCATGGCTTATTTCCTGTTCTGCTGTGGGAGATGGGAATTTTGGCGCGATAAGCGTGCGGGAATGTCGTTTTTAAATTTACAACGGATGACGGACTCTTGAAATTGTTTTTTTTTAAGCTTTTCGGAATTTCCTTCTGCAAATAGGATTTAGACTAGGGATTTAGGTGCTCTGAAATCTTGTTGCGCCGCGCTTCTTGCTCGCGCACTTCTCACCGCAGTGGGAACTGGGCTCTGACTGTATCGCCCCCTTAATCCTGCATGTAACTGTAATTTTTGGCAGACGCGATTGTAACTGTACTCCTTGATTCTCTCGTGTTTCCTCGCCTTCTCCCCCTCTGTCGTGCATACCTCTCGTCCTCCACTCTAACTGGCCTGAGCGACAGCATGACCGGATCGATGCGTGGAGTGCAGTGTCGTACCCCCGTTCACCGTTCACGGGGTCTGTGAACGGAGACCGGTCATGGAGTTCACGGAGAGCAATTTTTTTATTTTTATTTTTTGGGACTGATTTTTTTTTTTTTTTTTTTATAGAAGGGTAGGGAACATCGAAGGGTAACTCCCTATAATTTTTTCAAAAAAAAACATTCACGAATAATATTTTTTTTAATTAAAAACGAAAAAAAAAAAGCAACCAGCCAAAATAAGCATTTTCGTTTGCTATTTTGTAGGTCATTTCGATTTTTTTTTATTTTTTCAAGTGGAGCTTGAGGCGAATGTACCAAGGGGAGCCCAAAAAAAAAAAGAAAAAAAAAAGAACACTCTTTAGTGATCGTCCCGTTCACCGTGAACGGCCGTTCACAAAAAAAAACACCAAATGAACGGTCGGTCATGTTCAAGTGACCGGTGCTGGTCACGTTCACGGGATCGGCACTGGTGGAGTGTGGCTGCGTCCCCCACGCCGCCGCTTGGCCATGTGGGCGTAGGCACTTCCTTCTCTTCCCCTTTCCCTCACTTAAGCATAATCCCGGGCTCATCGCGCAAGCATGCTCTCTCAGAATTTGGAAGTTAGCGCGGTCAGTGAGGATCGGCTAACAAGTAAGTGAGAAGATGAGCAGAAGTGAGTCGGGCGACCCGATGAGCTGGTGCCGGGTAGGCGGGTTGACGTGCGGGCCACGACGGACTGTGACGCACGGGCGAACTTGGCTTGCGTACTCGGACTAAGCGGAGTGACGACTCGGTGTTGGTGCGAGGCGACGGACTGCCCGCATCGGAGGTGATGTAGCGTGAAGAGAAAGAGAGAGACAGAGAGAGATGTGTGTGTGGGTCCTGTGGGATGATGCCTTTCTCTAACCTTTGGTATAAATTCTGATTTCAACCTTGGGCGATCTTGTTACGGCCGTTTTGATCTTCTTGCGAATCATTTTGGATTTTCTGCTTATGATGTGTGTGGAATGCTATGTAACCGTTTAAACGCCGTGAACGCGTGTTCGCGTTCAAATCCGCGTTTGAACGCGGATATAAATTCGCATTCAAAATTGAACGCCGTTTTTTTTTTTTTTTTTTTTTTTTTTT